ACACTGGTTTGGGGTTTTTTTTAATGCAAGTTTGTCCACTTAACCCTTGGTCCTGGAGTGGTTCGGTGCCAGCCCAGAAGCACGGCATCGACCAGGCACAACCGCATGGTTAAAGATGTGCCATGTATAACCCTCCTTAACACGCTGGTGCGTCCGGCTCTGCCTCTTTATCTGGTTCCGAAGCAAACGCGGCCTTAGCCCTGGCACCTGATCAATGGTGGCCGATGTCATCTGATCCGTGGCTGATTGTGTGTTCCCGAACAGGCCCAGGGTTTCCATGGTGAGATTGAAGACTTCCTCCTGTGGCTAACGAGGATGGAGAGCCAATTGTCGGCATCGAAACCCACAGGAGGTCTGCCAGAAACTGCCCGGGAGCAACTCAATGCCCACATGGTAATTTCTTAGGAGAGATTTTTTAATGCTTTTAATTCAGCAAGCTCCTGTCTGTCAAACATCAGCATCAAAACTTCTCCCTTCTGTGTCTAATGGGAAGAAGAGTGCTTCTCTGGTCTCTTCATACGGATAATTTTGCACTTGATGCCTGGGACAAGCATCACGATGCTTTAACCACCTTTCTTGGCTCAAAGTGACACACTGCTGTCACGCTGCTGCCTGCCCTGAACCCAATTTTCTCATCGCCCTGAGTTTGCAGCAAGCCCAGGGTCCCTCTCCGAGCTCGTCCTTTGTCTAACGCGTGGGTGCTGCCTCCCTTGCAGGAGCTGTACAGCCAGCTCAAAGCCAAGGAGGACGTCTACAGTCAGCTGCTGGCCAAGGGACGACTGATGCTGCTGAATCGCGACGACTCTGGCTCTGGCTCAAAGACGGAGCAGAGCGTAGCACTGCTGGAGCAGAAGTGGTGTCTGGTCAGCACCAAGATGGAGGAGAGAAAGGTAGTGTTGGCAGAGAGATGCCCTCCACCCTCGCCCCGTGAGCTGGTCTGACCTGAGTTGCTCCCTGCTTTGCTGCTCTGCTTTCCCGGGAGGGATGGAGCCGGTCGGGGCTGGAGAAGGAGGGCTGGAGGTTGGGGTTTGGTTGGGTTTTGGGTTTGTTTTTTGAACAGCCTCTCTCTTGGTTGCGCAGGTTGAGTTTGTCTTTCAGACGGTGCTGCCTGAGCGTCAAGCTGTTGTTGTTTTTTCTAGATAGTCTTCAGAGTTGGTTAAATCATACAGAAAATGAGAGTAAAGTTGCGGTTTGGGTTAATTTAGAGGAGAGGTGGGAAGAAACCTCCCGCGGCTCTGAAAGGCAGGCTTTGTTGGTCCTCTGCGAGACAGCAGGCCAAATCCTCCTCCGAGCTGACTCCATCCTAGGCTTTTGGCTGGTGATGAGATAAAACAAGGGACGCGGTGGCCGCAGCCCAGAATAAATTTGCGGTGCTGCAGCTGTTGCCATCGAAATATCACCCACCTCGTTTACCGAGCCGCCCTCCCCACAGCGATCCCTTTCTCGGGAAGCTGAGGGTGACGCAGCTGCTCGTGTGCCGAGGAAGGGCTCCCCTTTCAGGGGCGATTCTTGTTCTGAAAGCAAGCGGTGGCTTTCACCGAAACCCCCTCCCCTCGGTAAACAAGTTGCGTTCCCGGGCGGAGGCGATGAGGTTCCTGTCAGAGGGATGTTTCGGCAGGGACACAAAGGCTGCCTCTGTCTGCGAAACCACAGACCGTGAGCTCTCGCCCTCCATGTTGTGGTTTTTTTCCCCTCTCCCTTTCTCCCTCCCCGCGGCGGCAGGCGAAGCTGGAGGAAGCGCTGGCCCTGGCCACGGACTTCCAGAATTCCCTCCAGGACTTCATCAACTGGCTCACGCTGGCCGAGCAGAGCCTGAACATCGCACCCCCGCCCAGCCTTATCCTAAGCGCCGTGCTGGCCCAGATCGACGAGCACAAGGTACCGGCGTCGTGAGCACCCAACGGGTCCCCGGGATGGAGGGAGCGAGGGTGGCACCTCATCTCCCCTGCGCCCACGGGCTGCTCGCAGGCACGTCCAGCTCCCCTTACGGATAGGAGGGCATCTCTGCCGTTTGCAGGTGTTCGCCAACGAGGTGAACGCTCATCGGGATCAGATCATCGAGCTGGATCAAACCGGGAACCAGCTGAAGTTTCTCAGTCAAAAGCAGGATGTGGTGTTGATCAAGAACCTGCTGGTGAGCGTCCAGTCCCGCTGGGAGAAGGTCGTCCAGCGCTCGGTGGAGCGGGGACGGGCTCTTGATGACGCCAGAAAGCGAGCCAAGCAGGTGAGAAACGTGGGAAGGGTGTGACAGACCCCGAGGTGCGGCCAACCTCGGAGGGCAGCAGGTCCAGAGACCGGGACGGGACTGGGGACACCACCAGGGTTAAATTTCAGACTGGCTCCTGTTTCTTTGCAGTTCCACGAAGCTTGGAAGAAGCTGATTGATTGGCTGGAGGATGCAGAGAATCACCTGGACTCGGAACTGGAGATTTCCAATGATCCCGACAAAATCAAGCTCCAGCTCTCCAAACACAAGGTAGAGCTTTGCCAAAGCAAGACCGGTGCTGGACGCTGGGTGGAAGGGTGCTTCGTCGGGAGGGGGAGCAGGGGCAACATCTCCTTGGCCATCAGGAGGGGGGAAAGGCATGTCCACACCTGCCGCTGCCGTGGAAAACGTTCAGCTGGGGATCTTCCCAAGCACCGTGTATCTTCAGAGAGGCAAGGCCAGGCTTTGTGAAGGAGTTTTGTTTTCTCTTGGGTTCCCAGGAGTTCCAGAAGACGCTGGGGGGGAAGCAGCCCGTCTATGACACCACCATTAGGACAGGGAGAGCCCTCAAAGAGAAAGCCTTGCTTCCAGATGACACTCAAAAGCTGGACAATTTACTGGGAGAAGTCCGGGATAAGTGGGACACGGTGTGCGGCAAATCTGTGGAAAGGTAAGTCCAGCCCCAACGTTGTGCCAGCGACGCTCGTTTGCCAAGGACTCGTATCAAAGGGGAGAGCAGAGGAGGGGAGGCGATTTCATGGGGGGGTTGGAGGAGGTCACTGGGACGTGACAAAAGGAGGTGAGCTTGTTCGTGGAGATTGACGGGGATGTTTGTTTTTCAGGCAGCACAAGTTGGAAGAAGCCCTCTTGTTCTCTGGGCAGTTCATGGATGCGCTGCAGGCCCTGGTGGACTGGCTCTACAAGGTGGAACCCCAGTTAGCTGAGGACCAGCCTGTCCATGGTGACCTGGATCTGGTCATGAACCTGATGGATGCTCACAAGGTGAGAGCGCCTTTTCCAGCTCTTCTTTGAGACGTGAGGGGGGCTCCTTTTCCCCAAGAGCCAAGGGACGGAGGAGCCGGAGTCGGTGCCTTGCTGCAGAGCTGCGTGTCTCGCTGCTTTGCTTTGCTGCAGTGGACAAGGAGGGCAAAACCAGGGCGAACAAGCAGGAAGAAACCTTTGCGTTACTGGGAAGGTTACAGGAGCTGGAGCTCTGGGTTTTTGAGATGCTATCAGTCAGATCTGTTGGGGGTTTAGTTTTGAAAAGGTGGCTGAACTTATAGTCCTTTATAAACTTTGGTCTTGGCTGGAGAGCCAGCGTGTTTGGAGACCAGCACTCCTGGGTTTGGATTAGGTCATACGTTGAAATCCCCGGACAGGGCTTGGGCGTCCGTTCAAGGCAGCCGCTGTGTTGCAGCCGGAGCAGGGACTAGAGTTTGACCGCTCCAGGTCACGACCGCTTCTGCCAGGGTGGAAAACTGGGGCTCCTGCCCACGCGCACCCACACCAAAAGGCGCTCAGGAGCTGCCGAGCTCCCTGCCTGCCTGCCCTCCCATCGTGCCAGGTTGTGGTGGATCCCTGGCGTGGGTGCAAAACCCATGTTCCAAACTATTTCAGATGTGCCCCCCTGGTTTCCCACCCCCTCCATGTGAAACAACCCACTGGGACTCACTAGCCCTGCTCGACTTCTGCCCTCTCTCCCTCCAGGTCTTCCAGAAGGAGCTGGGGAAGCGCACGGGGACCGTCCAGGTGCTCAAGCGCTCCGGCCGGGAGCTCATCGAGAACAGCCGGGACGACACGACCTGGGTGAAGGTGCAGCTGCAGGAGCTGAGCAACCGGTGGGACACGGTGTGCAAACTGTCCGTGTCCAAACAAACCCGCCTGGAACAGGCCTTGAAGCAGGTGAGCAGGCGGCTACGGGTGGAAACGGTCTCGGAGAGCTTTGCTGGGCTCCACTTTGTGCCGGGAGGTCAACACAAACCTCGGGGAAGAGGTTTTGCCCAGTGACTGATCCCCTGGCCGAGCAGGACACCCCAGTTACCAGGGAGAACTGCAAAGCAGCGGGTTGGTGTCAGTTATTTACTTGTTCTTTTCCCCAAAGAAGAGCCGATAAAGGCTGATTTGAAAAGGGGGGATGACAAGATCTCACCGATGTGTGCAGCAGGAGCAGAGCGGTGAGCAGCGGCTGTCCGGGCTGGTGTTTGCTCAAGTCCGGTGTAAGAGAGAGAGCTAGATTGAAGCTAAAAAAAACCCCCAAAAGTCAGAGGCTGTTAAGCAGTTTTATGTCAAGTAGGCAAGTTACAGAATAAACTACCCAAGTGCCAAATTGGTGAGAATACAGGTAGTTGTGCTGCTTTTAAAAACATTTAGTTCTTCAGCTTTTACAAGGAGGGTGGTGAAGCACTGGCACAGGTTGCCCAGAGAGGTGGTGGAAGCCCCGTCCCTGGAGGCATTCAAGGTCAGGCTGGATGGGGCTCTGAGCAACCTGATCTAGTTGGAGATGTCCCTGCTCACCGCAGGGGGGTTGGACCAGATGACCTCTGAAGGTCCCTTCCAGCCCAAATGATTCTGTGATTCTGATTCAGTGCAGCTGATGCCGAGGGGAGGGAGGTGCCCAGCCGCTGCGGGACCTGTCTGCTGGTGCTGCACAAACCCAGGCCAACAGACAGGGCTTTTGTCCCCCTTTTTTTTTTAAAAAAAATTTGTTTTTAAAGTCCCTTTCAGCCTTTTGTCTCCCCAGCTCTCAGCTGGGAGCGGGGCGGCCCGTTTCGGGAGGCGGAGGGCTGATGCCCGTGCTGTTGTCGCCGCAGGCAGAGGAGTTCCGGACGGCCGTGCACACACTGCTGGATGGCAGAGCAGTCCCTGCGCTTTCGGGGAGCGCTTCCCGACGACGCCGAGGCATTGCAATCCCTCATTGATGCGCACAAGGTAGCGGGGAGCTCTGAGACGCAACCTGAGCAGAATTTATGGGGGAGAATATTGCAAAATAATTCGTTTTGGCCTTTCAGGAATTCATGAAGAAAGTGGAGGAGAAGAGAGTGGATGTGAACGCAGCGGTGGGCATGGGGGAGGTCATCCTGGCCGCCTGCCATCCTGACTGCATCACCACGATCAAACACTGGATCACCATCATCCGAGCCAGGTTCGAGGAGGTGAGTCCTCCAGGCTTTGTTCCAGGCTGATGGCGAGAGGCGGTGGGGGACATCCCCACCAGGGATGGCCGTGTGGGGCTGGTTCCTGCCCCGGGTTTCCCACGCTGGGCTGGCTGACGATCCTCTCTGCGTTTCCAACAGGTTCTCACGTGGGCGAAGCAGCACCAGCAGAGACTGGAGTCTGCGCTTTCCGAGCTGGTGGCAAATGCAGAGCTTCTGGAAGAGCTCCTGGCTTGGATCCAGTGGGCTGAGACAACCCTGATCCAGCGGGACCAGGAGCCCATGCCACAAAATATTGATCAGGTCAAAGCCCTCATCTCGGAACACCAGGTGAGCCCAGTGCCGAACACGGCGGGCACTCGGGAGAGGAGCAGCGGGGGGTTTCTTGCCCCTCCGTGGAGAAGGCATTGGCTTCTCTTGGAAGTCCCTGTTAAAACAGGACATGACCCAACCGGAGCTGTCACCTGGGAGCAAAGCCAGCCCAGGGGATGAACTCCGACGGTCGCAGACCCAAGCCAGCGCTGGGCAATAGCTTGACCCCGAGCCCCCATCGCCTGTGCTTAATGCTCCCATCTCCTCTATGGGCTTGGCATGTCCCAGCGAGGATCTGGAGCAACAAGAGACCGAAAACATCTCAAAACTGCAAAGGTTTCCTTGTCCCTTCTGTATTTTGACAGTCCTTTATGGAGGAGATGACTCGGAAACAGCCGGACGTGGACCGGGTCACGAAGACATACAAGAGGAAAGCTACTGAACCTCCCCACGGGCCTTTCATCGAGAAGTCCCGCAGCAACAGTATGTCTCGGCTCGATAGGCAGTTTTTGGTGAAACGTGCTACGATGGGAGGAAATGAAATGCATAGGAAACTAATTAACTTTGATTATCAATTAACAAGGCATCCTGCATTGGCAGCCAGCAGGAAAGCGGTTGAAACTTGTCAGGAGGGGAGAAATCCAGGTGGCATTTGCCCAAAGAGCCGTGCTGGGCTGTGCTGCGCCCGGGGAAGCTTCTGCTGGCACTGCTCTGCTCTTGCTCTCTGCGGTTGCTTTGTGATGAGGTTTTGGGGTCTTTTTTTATGTTGCTGCTCAAAGCCGGAGTCTGACGTGAATTCCCAAGTGCAAAGGGAGCCGGGGGTGGGTTGGGTGTAGAGCCATCCGTCCTCCTACCTGGGGACACTGCATCCCTTCGGAGAGCAGCCAGCAAGGCCGTGGGAGGTTTTCGATTTGAAAAATAAAATGTATTTCATTGCTGCTCTTTCCTGGACCGCTCAGACTCACTGAACCCATCACCACCACCTCAAACAATTCCTTTTCTCCCTTTTTCCAGGAAAATCCTTGAGTCAGGCAGCCCCCCCCAGCATGCCCATTATCTCCCAGTCGGAAACAAAGAACCCCCGGATAAACCAGCTCTCGGCCCGCT